ATAGAACATTGTCAAAGCTCCTGCAATCTTGTTAAGTAAATTAAGGGACAAAGGAAGCAAGTGAAAATACTCTTTTTTCTGTTCTTAAAATCAATAGACCTTTAACAATTTACATCTGCTCCATCTCCTCTTCCTCTCCATACATAAAACAATACTGGATTTCAAGTACCATCACTTGTGTGATCCCATAAAGTTCAATTGAAAACTGCAGCCAGTACTGTACACTTAAATAACCTTTCTCCACAATGTTAACTGAATATTATTAGCATAGAGTTGTTAAGAATGAATAGGATGACTGGAGGTCACCTTGTCTAAGGCTCCTGCTCATGCAGGGTCACCTGGAGCATGTTTCCCAGCACAGTGTCCACATGACACAGTACTGCAGGATTTCCACAGCACTGCTTGATCTCCTTAGTCAATCACTCCATCAGACATGTCCTAAATTGCCTCATTTTTTCCCTAGGCTTATAGTTTTCAGTAGGTTCTTTTGGTGAAGGAAAGGGATGAGGGATTGTTTCAATGCCCTCAGAGACTGTTGGCTGCACCACTACAGACAGAGGAATAAATACAGTCTGTCTATAAAGATTAAAAGGATAATTACTGCAGCACAAAAAAGTCTGTGTGAAAGACCAACTGGCTCGATGCTGCGTAAGAGAAATAATATCTGGGGGGGAAAGTCTTCACAATGAGTCCTGGTTACATATGTATAACATTAAAACTTCCTCTCATTACTCAGAGCCCGCCAGAACCACCCCATTTGGCACAATTATTGAAGACCTTCTACAGCTGACCAAACCCTTTACAAACTTGCCAAGCAAGCAAAGCCAATTCACAGACTGACACAAATTCACCTCCCCACTGAGGCTGTGAATCACCACATACATTAAACTAAAATTAAACTGATATGACTGTGGATAAATACATTCCTTGCATCTTTTTTTCCAGTAGGAAATTGACCCACGTTTGGTTTGAATTAAACTCACTCACTGCACTGAAACAAGTAACTAAATGGAAAGATATGAGTCCCTTTGAAGAGAGTGCAAATCAAATTTGGGTGATAATTACCAGCAGATAATTGAAACCTACTGTTTATTTGTACAGAACCTGATGTTACTGAGCTACCTCTGGAATGGACAAATAGAACTGCATATTCTGCGTTCCACCCTGCTTCTCATTTTTAAACCTCTTACAGAACATTGTCAACTCACCCATGTCAAAGCTCCTGCAACCTTGTGAAGTAAATGAGGGGACAAAGAAAGCAAGTGAAAATACTCTTTTTTCTGTTCTAAAAATCAACAGACCTGTAACAATTTACATTTGCTCCTTCTCCTCTTCCTCTCCATACACACAACAACACTGGATTTCAAGGTAAATCTTGCTTTTGGATTGCAGTACAAACATGCAGCTCTGTATTTGAGTATAAGGTTCTAAGGCTCCTGGTCACACCATTTGTGGCATGGTTTAATCCAGTCTTCAGTCTCAAATTCTTTCAATGCCTGGACCCTCGTATAAGAGCCATAAAACTACTACTAACACCTTCAAGTCTGAAAAGGCATGGCAGATGAAAAAAAAAAAGTAAATAAGTCCAGTTTTCCCTGTCATCAATAATCTTGCCCTGGTATTTATTTCTACTCACCCAGCCAGGTAAGGAAGAAAATACCTTCACTCTGATTGGGGTAAATGCTAAACACATCCGCATGCAAATAGCAGAGTCTCTTAACTAGAGAGTTTACAAATTCAAGACATAAACATTAATTCCTCCAAAAGTTACAGAAAATTTATGGAAAATGGGGAGCATGTAAAAGATGACAATTTTTTGTAGGATCCTGCTTTATCAAAATTCCTCTGAAACAAACCATGCAGCCTCTGACAGAACACTGCTGAAGAAACAGGTCAAAGTGACTTAAGACTAGAACTATCCAAGAATGATTTATTACTTAGGTAATTAAAATTTGATTGCCAAAGGTTAAAACAAACAAAATCAGAGTGGGGTGGTATCTCACTTTTAGCTTTAACAAAATCATATGTGTTAATATTTCACTTTAAAAAAAGCAGTTCTCAACTTCCTGGGAAGTGAGAATTAACTCTCAGACTGGTTGTCACAGGACTAAACTGCCCTTCTCAATAGAGGAGAGTAACATAATGCATTTTCATAAAGGGAATTCTAATTACTACAAATATCTTCATGGTGTATGTTGTTTTCACTAAAAACTCAAAATTAATCAAATTTAACCTCAGAAAAACACAGTATAGTAGCAAATAGATTCCATACCTTCCTTGCCTTTTAATATAGACTTACATTGTCAATGACTCGTTCAGTAGCATGAAAATACCTCCCCCATTCCAGAATACTTTGGAACTGACTCAGTTTTTAGCAATGTTCTTGCTCAAATTAACATCAAACCTTGCATATTAGATGTGTTCTTTCACAAACAGCTTTCAAACTGTGTGTGATCCCATCCTTGCAACTGTTAAGACACACAAATCCTCATCTGAGTAAAATATTCACTAAATCCATTCTTCACCCAGGTGCAAAGGCAAAAAGAGCAGTGTGTTTAGTATTATGTTCTCTAATAGATGAACAGACACAGTACTGTAAAATTTCCTGTGTCTACAATACATCCTGTGTTTTTAAAATAAAGTTTAAGTCAATTAAACCTCAGACCCCCAAAAAATCCATCCTGCACACACCTACTCACCCTCCTGCTCATCTCTTTCAAACCCTGGAGCCTCATCTCTTTCAGCCTCATGTGAATTTCCTTCTGGAGACACAAAGGTTTCCAAGTCTCTGTTCCTGAGCATTCAGTAGAGCACTTTCCACAGGCACAGCAGACACTCTATTTGCCCTTGCTAACAGAGGCTTCCAAAATCCCTGATTGATTTTGCCATGAAAGCAAAATGGAATTGTTCAACCCCAATAGTATTAAATCCATGAATTTTTATGCTGTTGGCCATTTGTCAGCCCAATGCACCCAGCAATGTCTCACTGTGAGATGAGCTTGATCAAGTTTCCAGTGATGGTTACTCCACTCCCTGGGCAGTCCATTGCAGTGATGAACAACCCTTTCAGTGAAGAAATTCCTGTTATATCCAGCCTGGCAGAGATTTGAGTCTTTGTTCTGTCCCTAGCTGCCTGGGAGAAGAGGTCAATCTCCACCCTCCATATATATATACATACATACATACATATATATATATGTATGTGTGTATATATACACCTCTCTGTGTGTGTGAAAAAAATACAAAGAGTCTTAGAATTCTGATGCAGCTAGTTCCTCCATTTATAGAACACTTTTTCCCCACAAGGTAAGATATAAAATCTATAAAAAAATAAAATGAGGTTTATCCTCAGCACACAGCAGGGCACCTTTAAAGGTTTTTTCCTTTACACAAAAATATTGGTTCAGCCAGACACTCTGTGTCCTTTGCAGGTTTTCTCCCGTAGCACAGGAGGCTCCCTCAAGCTTACTTGTTGTTTACCTATTGTAACTCATTATTATGCACACTTTTTTCCATGTCCAGTATGATGACCAGTTGCAAGATTAGCAGCACTCATAAATGCCAACCCATAAATCACAAATAACTCAGTACACCGACCACTACTCATCTGAAATCTGTGCATGCATTGCATCTGTGCACCGGAGCTATGAGCGGATCTCCACCAGACCTCCTTCTTTTCTCCAGTAATTTTCTTCAGCCAAGGTGAGAGCTGACCTCTGGTCACAAAGATAATTTCTCCCATTTCTTGAAGCTGTCTGACAAATGCATTGTTGAGAAAACTCCAAGGAAAAATGTGTATGATTTGAAAGGAAAAATTCAAAGGCTTATTAAAAAAACTTACTGAAGAAGACAGAAATTCCTCTAAGTTTTAAAATGTTTACACTTACCTTTCCTTGTACCAATCTGAACCTGGCTTTTTTTTTCCTTCATTCAGATCCCCAAAATGAATAGTGTTTTGACTTTCTTAAATCAGCTATGCATTAACACACACTCAAATCTTCAGAAATTCTGCCCCATAAATTGGAATAAACAAAACAAGCCCCAGTATAAAAATGTTATTGAAAAGCACTAACAAAAATAGACCATAAATTCTTTTAAGACAGATATTCTCAGGTGAAGACACCTGCACAGTAGACTTCACATAAAATGTTTAGGAACACAAAAGGTTTGCCTGGTGATTAAAGGGAAAAAAAAAAACAAAAAAACAAGGGTTAGCCATCCTAACCCAAAAAGATATTAAAATAGCATATAACTGGTTTTATTCATTTTGTTGCTGTCTGAATCCATGTGGGAAGCACTCAAAAGGCATATTTATTTTGTCTCATTGACAAAATAACAAATACTAACCATGAAGATCTCTACCTTTCAACAGTGCAGGCCCTACTCCAAGATGAGAGGCAGTGCCCATCACCAATGTTCCACTTCCACAGCCTCCAAAAATAAAGTGAGGTAGTTCCAGGCATAAGAGCTTTACTAGATCAGTCTCAGCATATTCTCTGAAAAATTCAATCACAGTAAGAAAAGGTTCATCATCCCTCTAATAAAAGTAGGAAGATTCCCTGTACCACCTGCAATTGCAGCATCTTCTCACAAAATAACCCAAACACAGCTATCTATGACCAAATGCAGCTGACATGAGTCAAACCAGCAGTGTTGATGCAGTGACCACTTCATCCAAAACCTTCTCATCTTCCATCTCCCTGAGGCACCAGGAAGATGATGCCTCTACCTTGTGAAAATACACCAGAGAAGGAGAGCAAGATGTCTCAAGAGCCTTGCTGTGGCAAGACTTCTAATACCAATAAGGCAGGACCATTGGCTCTCTCGTAATTTGGAGATGAACATTACTGAATGTAGTTGTAACACCACATGAACCAAATCCTAGTAGTGTATGCTCAGAAAGATGCATAAGGAGTATGGAAAGTTGGCCTACTAAGTATATTACAACAGAGCTGCATCATGAAAAGCAGAGGAGTAAGACTTAAAACTGACACCAATCATCTTTTGGAAATGTGAATATTCAACTTGGTTAAATCAAGACAATCACAGATAGACATTTTTTCCCAAATCTTTGGCTGTATTGCAATGGTTGTTTCAATTTGTAATCTCCAACTAAACATTTCCTATCCATGGATTAACAATATATTTACTGACTTGTGTCTTTTAACAGTATTTATCCAACATAACAAAATAAACTGCAATTTGTTATACTTTTTTTTTTTACAAAACATTTTATAAATATTTTTACAAAATGTATACAAAGCAATTTCAAGTGAGACATACTTTACAAATGAAGGTATTTAAGCAAATAAAGTCCATACCACGCTGACAATAAGTGACACATCCTCTTTAAGTGAAGTCAGTCTGTAAGGCCTCCCTACTCTAACAGATAAATTATACCAAAATCTTCAAAATGAACATAGTTTTCTTAATTGCCAGTTTAAAATTTGTTTTAATATTAGGCAGTATTAAATAACATTGAAATCACAATGCTGATCCAGCAAAATAATGAAAACATGTTTAAAGTCATGCATATTCACAATACTTTGCTGGACTTGAGCCCATATGATTAATAAATTTTTTTAAGCACCACAAAAATACAATTATTTCATTTTCTGCTTCACCACGTACCAGAATTCCTTTAGAATTGAATTCAAAGGAGTGAACAACAGAACATTAACAATCTAAGATCAATCTTACTAGGATTGTTCAAGGGGTTCCTCTCATCAGCAGTTCAGAGAAATGTGTCTGACCAAATCACTCACAATTACTTTCTGCAATTTGTCCTTTTTTATATGCCATTGTCCCCCCTTCCCAATGAGACCCAATAGAAGACACACAACCTGATACTTCAGTTTGTATTTGCTGTAGAGAGGCTGGAAACCCCATACTCATTTTGAGGTGGTACAACAAGCAAGGGGACTGATGAATGTGCAACTTCACTTTTTTTTCCTCAGAAGAAAAATTTAACTAGTTAGCATACAGCTGTGTAACTTACTGCTCTCCTTCCTAAATAGTTCAGAATGATAAATTAATTAAATTTCCAAAATGATAAAAGATGCATCAGAATACACAGCCATGAGAATATTATTAAATCTAAAAAGGCAATAGGTGAAGACTATCTTGTCAGTTTTGCCAATAAGAAAACAACTAACTGCCTGAGAGTCTACTCTGTGGACATCCAACCAAAAATTTAAAACTGGCAATACTTATTAATAATACATACAACACTTGGGAATGTTGGGTTTTTACAAACACGTACTTTAAAATTGGCACATTTTTTTTAAATGGCAATTAGTAACATATAAAACCAGTTCTTCCATTCATGTTGAAGGGGAAATGAATTTTAAGGAAGTTCATCTTTCATTGCTTTCTAGATTTGGTTTCCTTTAGTGGTCAGACAGTGGACTGCAGCTCAGTACTGAGTTGCACTGTAATGTTCTACTATCCCAAGGATCTAATTCTGCTTCCTTCCGTGACACTCAGATGGAGTGAGTTACACACCAGCAAAACCTTTTGGTTTCTCTCCTGGCAATCTGACAGACAACCACAGCTTGTCACAATGAGCCTCTTACATTGTGAAAATCGTAATCAGCAAGTCTGGAAAAGGGCTGGTAATGTTTCTGAGAAATGGTGGAGAAGTTCTGGGGGAGAACATGAGCATACCTTAGAAACCACAAAAGCTGTATCCTCCTGAGCAGACATATGTACTACACACACGTGACCAACGTCAGCGCGCTTATGTGCACAAAAGCACTCATGACCAAAGTAAACTAGAACAAAGCAGCATGGGCAGCAAAAAAAAGTCATAGATTAAAATAAATAAATAAAATAATAAGATTCTATCTTAACAACATGACAGCAAGCCAAATGCAAACCATGCAATGGTTTCACTTGGCTTTACAATATGAATTAATAATTACACATTTTTTTGATATGTTTAAACAATGGGATTGCTGATCAACTTTGGTCTGTACATATCTTGATAATAATGACTGCTACGGTGGATGATTTAACATTCTCTGACAGCAAAAAGCAAAAAAAATCAAAAATAAACACTGGCCTTTAAATTTACTCAGAGTAAGGCTAACATCCTCTTAAAATATAAGCTACAAATACAGTTTTCAAATCAAAGTGCTTTTGACACTTGGTCTAAAAAAAAAAACCAACAAATAAAAAAAAAAAAAACATTTATACCACTTCAGAAAGACTCAAGGCTGACTACATCCAATTATAAAATGCAAAATCTTTTCCTCAAGAGATAACATATATATGTATTATATATATAAATTCATGGCTCTATCATGGCCTCATCCTGTACACTTTGCTATTTACTGGCTTCCGTTCTACCTTCCTTAGTCAAGCATTTATTACTTCATATCATGCCACTGTGACTAAGATCATATAATATCATCCCACAGACTAAAGTTACCCACTACAAATATATCAAGTACTAGTTTCTGCTCAGAAAGCAATAGAAAAGCACTTAAAGTTTAAATTATGAAGCCTTGTAAACACACTGATGATTTCCTTCCAACTTAAGAATCCTAGAATACAGATTCATTAACAAAGCAAATAATCACTTCTGAATAGAGGTACAGTGGGTTTTCCAGAAAAACTAAAAATTTGATGATTTGTGGAAGAGAAGGGTAAGGGAGAATTGTTGCTTCCATCACTCTTTAAAAACATTTTCTTAATAAATATATCCTTTCAAATGACTGTGATTGTCAGTATATTACCGTATTATATAGGGCCTAAAAACCTGCAACCCTGTTACGTTGCAGTACTGCTCAATAATCAAAAGCACTATTATAATAATACTTGAAACAGTAAGGCCCTAACAGACTGCATTCTAACAAGGATTAACTTTACTTGGATATCTCACTGTAACCACAATGAGTATTGCTCTCAAACACAGAACAGAATCTAGTTTAGAAAGGTTAACCTTAAATGCATGTCAGGCTGTACTTGTGGTGTCATTCACATTTGCTTCTGCTAAGAGAAACAGAATTTGTCCATGGTACTGTAACTATTAACACTCTAAGATACTATTTACAGCTGCTTCTAAAATAGAGTCAGTTTCTACAACACTTTCACTGTGGTCTGGAATAAATTTTTCCAGGCAGTTCTCTTGTGAAGCAATAGGTGAAAAATTAGGGAACTCTAATTCAACCGAGCCACTGCTTGCCGCCTCATTTTGTGGCTGCCTCCCAGCTTTTTTAAGTTCCAAGATGTTTTTAAATGTAGTTTCTAAACTCTTACTGAGCAGTAAGTCTTCCTGGGGTTCACCAGAGCTTTTCCTGTTATCAGGATGCAAAACCTCATTCTTTGGAGAGCTCCTCAGAGTTTTGTCTTGAAGTGAATTATTACACATTACCTTTGAGAAAGACTGAACTGCATTCCTTGATATTTTATTGTGTGTTCCATGACTGCCTCTTGACACTATTTTTGACAAGTCTTCAGAACTCGAAGAATTCTCAGTGGACTTGGCAAGATCTTTCCCACTCATCCTGTCTTCAGAAAGGGCCACATATTGGCTCTCAGAAGAACAATTAGCTTTTTCAAACTTTAAAGCTTTAGTGAGGCTCTCGGATTTTTTAGTAGAAGCTTTTCCTTCTTGTGGTGTCAGAATGTTGTTAGGCACTATAGGAAGTTTACTGTGATTTGTGGACTCTACTGAGCTGGATTTTGGTCGGTCTCTGGCTTGGGTTTTGGTAGTCTGACTTCGAGAAGGTAATGTTTTGCTAGACTGATGGTCACTTTTGCTGGACTGTGCTTCTTCAGCTGCTTTCTCAAATTGTTTGGCAGAACAACAAAAATCGGCCTGATAACCATCTGTAAATTAAGTAGCAACATTTTATTAAAATCACCTACACATCCAAATAACTGACACTGAAATTCAAATAACATCCACAGCTTACAGATCTGGGTCTTTAAGAGATGTTCATATGCTTAAGTGTTCTGCTGTGTACAGTGCAGGAGATTAGCACTAAATTAATCAGCACACTGCTCACGCATGTGCACTCTAAAACCAGATTAAGGGCACTTCCCAGCATTCTAAATATGCAAATATGGTCTCTGAAGATTAATACTTTCTACAACACAACCTGTGAATATCTTTTAAAATATGCAGATCATGCAGAACCTTTAAACAAATCGTAGCTGTAATCCTACACAATTAACGTGCTTCCAGGTGCTATGTTTAACAACATCCCAGTTAAAAACACTGCCATTTAAATGGCCATGGCACTCCAAGAGCAACACTTCATTAAGATGAACAAGAGTATTCATGCTTCAAACAGTGCTGATCTTTCTGGCTGCAAGTAAACTCAGAGATTCTTCCCTGCTAGGATGGAGGTACTGCAGAAGTCATGACTGTTGTCAAAAGAAACTCGAACGTTTCTCTGCCAAACAGATAACTTTTTTTTTTCCCCACAAATAACTGCTTCAACCCTACAGTGTCTTTGGATTGTTGAATTCTGGAGTTAGAAAAAGTTATCTTGCAAATGCTTATTCAGTATTTCACTAACTGGAATCCACAATAATCCCTGCCTCACTGCGGCCACAACTATTTTTAAACACTCCACACTTAATAATGAAGTTCAGCGTTCCTTACCAGGATCCACAAGTGCAAGACGCTTTTCCCGGGTCAGAGATGCTCTTTCCTCCTGGTTAAACATCCTATCAATCATAACCATTTCTGCAGAGGGATTTATCCGCTGAGGAAAAGGGAAAAAACAACCCATCTCTGGAGTGACTCATATGACTCATATCAATCAAAACATTGATAGCTTAGTTAAATTTCAGAGAAAAGAAACTTCTTTTATTATGTATTTGCGAAGAACATTCACAATATAACGGTCCTGTCTCTGACCCAACCACTACTGAAACTCAGTCATGAAATATTACTCACATTGTACTGCAAATTTTATTTGGGAAAGACTTTAAAACAGAGAATTGCTATTCCAGTTGGATGAGCTGTACTTTTTCAGGACTGAGTATGCTTACTACTGTATACCACAATTTTTTTACTTCATACAGTATCCTTCTCTTTTAGGGGATCAACCAGCAAAAATCTTGAACTGGGACCATCCTATCATCTTCCCTGCACTTCTCTCCTATCCTTGTAACTAGCTGGTCAGAGCTGCATTTTGCTGACAATGCCTTCAAGCCACTTTGATTCATCCATCACAGAAAATGGTCACTGCACTAGACCATAACATAGACAACTAGTTTCAAACCTGAATGCTATGTGAAATAAACCTTTCAAAATTACTAAAGGGGATTTGCCATACAACATACCAGATGCTAAAACAACAAATCTCAACCTCCATCCTCTCTTTGCATCTGCAAATACTTGCAAATATTTAATGGCTAGGATCTATTACAATGCAACTGCTATTTGTAGAACCATATTAATTCTAACAGTTGTATTATGTACCCCTGTCTCTAAATATCTAAATGCCTATTACACTCAAATTCAAAACTTTTCCAGGTATAAAAACTAGCATATCTGAGGTCACAATGGCATTTCCTGATCCTTGTAAAACACATTCTTTAACTTTGTCAGTTTTATTTTATCTCATACCTGGGATTGTGAAAGCACTTAAGTCAGAAGCACTTCTGATGAAGTTCCACCTAGCTTTTAAGGACAATGATTTCCTAAACTGTAATATGATTTGGCTTTAATTATAATATGGCTGGAGGCCTCTGAATGGACAACATCAACACTACTTCAGTTTCCATCAGCCACAGAAATACACAGAAATCACCCTCCTGACTATCACAGCCTGTTCAGTGTAAGAGCAAAGCAGAAGCAGAGAACAGAAGTTCATGCACCTGTTCTGTAGATTTTGTTTCAACAAATTTAATCCCATCCCTTAAACAAAGTGTACCTGGGTTCTACACCTTACCATTGCATCTTCTATAAGCAGACATCTGTATTTGTTCAGCATAGCCTGTGTCCTCTTCAGAAGTTGTGTAGCTACAGATTCAAATTCACTGTCCACTGGAAAGACAAAGTACACTTTCAAACACTGTTCTTCAATAACCTGTACAAATTTTAAAATGATCCTTTTCTTATTGCTCTAATTTACATTAAGAATTCTCTCAATACAAACTGATTACAAACTTACTGCCAAATTTGAAAAAGAAAATTACCTTTTCTTAAATCTTCTTCTGTTGGAAGTGATCCCTGGCACACATGGTATGAAAGGAGCCTCTGAACTGCATCATTTAATGATCTGAACCGACTTTTATCTGGTGTCACAGCATGTACCTGATCCTTCTGTAATTGCTGCAGAATACTACAAAAAAATTAATGGTATATACTTAACATACTGTACAGAGTTTTTACATTGACAAAAGTAAAAATTAAGGTTTCTGCAACAAAATTAAAACAAAATAGTGACTTACAAAGCTCCTTTAGTTAACTGTTTAGCAGCAGGCCTTTTCTGTCCAACTAAATGACCATCGACCTAAGTTCAAAATAAAAGACAAATTACAATATAGCCCCTCATTTGCAAAGCCTAAGTTTCAGGAGTTGTTTCTGTCAATTAGGTACATCACCAACACTAACTGTAACCACCACATAAGTATAAACACTTTCAGCTATCTCCTATTTTCACAGGGCACCGTGTATCCACAAAATATGTCACTTCCCTATTTTTTGTATCCACAAAAAATAGGGAAGTGACATAAACCAAAGGTCCAAAATGCTGTTTGTGGAAAAATTCCACTGTTTTGCATTATACATACTTCACTAAGAATGAGAAGATCAAAGTTAGCAGGTGCAAAGAAGGAAAGATAGAACTAAAAACTTTTTACAAATAAATCTGCTCATACAAACCCTCTCTGCATTTCTCAGAAGATGTCATCTTGCCTGACATTGATGGATTAGAGTATCTATGAGGAAAGCAGGCTAAGGTTGTGCACTTAAATGCTCAAAAGCCACAGTGGATGGGGGGGATTGTAAAAGTCATTCTAGGAATTCTATTTCAGTGTCAATGCTACAGATATGCCCATCAGGTAGTGATCCAAGTCATTCTCTCCTTTGCTTAGACATTTGATGAAATCAAGATTTTCCTGGGAACACTCTCCTAAGACCCGAGGCTCTCTGAGGGGGTAAAGATTCATGGCAGACACACTGGAAGAGTATTTGCCTCAAAAAGCCTCCAACTTCAGATCAGAAAAAGTAGTCACCACCAAGCAGAATGAACATCTGACCAACTATTACACAACCAGGCTGACCTCCTAACTGAGCACTACTGTACCTTCTGCTCTACTTGTACATCAATAAGACACAGAAAAACATTCCTGTCCTACTGCACTGACAAATACATTTACAAACAAAAATTTTAAGTCAGATCCTCTCCAAAAAAAACTCATACTGGACAGTGTTTTTGTACATACTTGCTTTATGTGGGAGAACTTTTGATGGTAAAAGAAGAAGACTGCAGTAAGGAATAAAACAGACAAAGACCAGGTGGAACTGTTCTGCTGCTTCTCACAAACCACTGTCTCCCAATCAGCCAGAGAACAGCTGAGTTTGTAAGAAATAATGAGAAGAGTAGGTCGAACTACTGGCCAACTCAATGAAGAATTGCTATGTCATACAAAATTATCTTCAGGGAACAGTACAGTCAGACTCTACTTAATGAACTGAATCTCAAAGCAGCATTCAGTGTATCAATTTGCAAAATAATCAACATTTATTATGCCAAGGTAGAATTTGTCAAGTTTGAGGGAGTTCATATACTCGACAAAAAACCTACAATGATTCCTTATTTGTTTACTCACTACCTCCCCTCACCCCAGTGGAGAAGAGAATTAGGAAAAAAAGTAAACCTTGTGGGTTGAAAAGAACAGTTTAAAAACAGAAACAAAATAAAATAAAGTTGCAATGAAAAAGAGCAAAAGAGGGAATTAAACCCAGAAGAAACAAGTGATGCCCAATGCAATTGCTCAGCACCCTCTGAACAATGCCCACCCCATTCCCGAGCAGCAACAACCGGCTCACAGGCAATTAATTCCTACATTTACACCCAGAACACCATGGGATGTTCCACAGAATGGGATACTCCTCTGGCAGTTTGGGGCAGCTGTGCTGTGGGTGTCACTGGCACAGCATAGGGCACTGGAGAGGCTGTGACTTGCAGAGTAAGCACTGCCCAGCAACTAAAACACTGGTGTGTTATCAACATTATTCACAGCCCAAATCCAAAACAGAGCACTGTACCACCTACTAAGAAGAAAATTAGCTCTATCCCAGAAAAAACAGGATAGACAGGGAAACATATAAATAGAAGTGTTCTCTACCTGTATACTCTGCTGAACTGATGATGATCCTATCACTTTTTCTTGTGGCTGTGCTGTTCCTAGAGATTGTTGTATGATTTTTCCTCCAGAGTCCTGTCCTATAAAAAAAAAGTTTAAAAGATTCTTGTCATCTTAAGCAAGAGGGGAATAATTTTGTATCCCTATCCTGATAATTTCACTTGAGTTTTTAGGAAAGCTATATCTTACGCTTAAAAGCATTAGTGCAACTATCCTGTGGAGAAACCAGCCCATAAAAATTAAACAGGACTGATATTTTGCCTGAAAAACTATAGAAATCCTCAGATATAAATCACATCACACCATGGTACTGCAACATAAGAAGAAATTCAAGTGCTGCAAGTTTAGTGTCCCAACAATTTGCCTAAAATCAATCATACAATAAATTTTATCAAACTTTTCAATACCAATCCTCCCTCAAAGTGAATTACCCAAATTTTTCTAAAGCTCCTGGAAGCACTCTTCCAGGACAGCAAGCGTATTTCTTCCCCTAGATTTTTTTTAGATAGGTAGACTTCCTCCAATTGCCTTGCTTCATAATCCAAACAGCATCTTATCAGTCATGCTACCTTACAACCAAAACAAGTAAGAATTTATTAGGTTTCTTTTCTCCAAAGACACCCAGCATACTGTGCACACTGTGTACAGAATTGCCTGGACAGCTTATACATAACAGTACACAAGGGGGGAAAAAACCAAGGTAGAGTATAGGACCTTATTCAAAAGGTTACTTATGTACAAAGAGAACAGGAAGGTTACTGCATTTTTCTGCTTGCCTTGAATGTACTGGTTTTGTTCTTTCAGTAGCATGGTGCTGCTTGAAAAGCTGCTGTTTTGCCATGAACAATGCATGAACTATTCTAACTGAAAGGGACGCATTCAAGAACAAAGTGAGTGATGACAGCCTGCACATAACCTTGTAATACCGATTTCTCTCCCCTCTCTAACTGAAGCAGCCACCACATTCAACATTCTAGAACTTTCATGGAATTTTAGCAGATGTCTATTTTGGAAAGTAAGTATTTCTATTTTCCTAAGCTGAAAAAAAAAGAAAAATGAAAGAAGGTATAATTTTGGTGAGAGAAATAATTGCTAATTGTAAATATTCAACTGTTCTCTCTAGAAAATGAAGTGCCACAGTTGACAAAAATTAAAGCATACATTTAATACTGAAAAAATATAGTTTCAATTCTTCTAAAAATGAAATTCCAACAACCTTTAGAACCCTATGAGCATGATGCATCTATCTAAGTGTGACACATTGAAGTAGAACGAATCTCTGTTGCTGCAGAAAATTAAGAAAATTATGTTAAAAAGACCTTAGTTGACCTGATAGTGTGTTGCTCAGAAGATTTGTTAGCTGAGGCTGTCTCAAATTGTCCTGTGTCTTCGATGCAGAAACTGGTGATGTCTGGTTCACAGCCTTTTTCTGTGGCACATACATAAAATAAAGAACAAATTTTTTAAAAATCACAGTGAAATATTTACTGAAAGCTTTAAGAAAAGCAAGGTAAAGGCACCTAAATTTCACCTCCATGTATACTTTTTTAACTTCAAACTCATCAGTGGTGAAATTTCACATATCTCAATCCCTCCAAGTTCAAGAATTTTATAAAGTAAATCAGAGGGGAACAGAAATTACACTAACAGCACAAATATATACCAGTTGTATTCTAGAAGACCACTCATTTTCCACTACAAGTGGCCCTCAGAAAACACAGCTTCTCAGAGTTCCAAAACTGCAAGATGATGAAGTTGCTTTCCCAACAAAAAAAAAAACAAAAAACGCACAGTGGAACAAACCCTCCACTGCTTAGCAACTGAATGATACATGGTTTAGTATAAAGTACAATGTTTAAAATGCAAGTACAAACAAACTAAAAAGATTCTGGCAAATAGTGGCATTTGTTCTCTGTAAGTGCCCATTTACAGCTCTGAAATTCCAGCACAAGAACAAAAAGATCTTTTAGAGCAGTAAGAAATAATCTGCTTTTATAACTGCTGAAACTGACTGACCCAGCACGTGACCTGCAAATAGGAAGATGTAGACACATGAAGAGAAAGTCGGACAGGCCTCAAATTACTCATCTGCAAGCAAAATGTTACAATCTGCACCAGAAGTCTTGGCAAAGATTACAAATGTGTTTCTGCAACATGCTCATACTGATTTTTTAAATGCACATTATTTTCTAAGACATTATTATTTCACTGCAGATTTTGGGTTTGGTTAAAAAAAAAATCCATCAGGCCTTTGGAAAAAGAAAGATCTAAGTAAAAGAAGAGAAAAGAGAAAGATCTAATTAGTGCAAATGCATTCTGAGAGTGTTTCAAAATGACAAAAAATGATGACAAAAAAAATTTAAAAATGACAGAAATTGAATAGCTTGTTGTTAACTGTGTGAAAAGTCACTGAGTTAAAATTGGCAATTCACTTTGTAACTTTATGAACTTTTTTCTTTTAAACTTTTGACTGTTTCTAAGTTCGCTTATGAAAACAGAAAAATTTGAGTTGAATATATACTGCAAGTGTATCTACTGGACAAAATAGACAACATCAAACCTTAAAAGTGAATTCCGAATTTTTTTTTAAGTACTAGCTTGACTTCTTAGAGGATTATTTTTAATGTTATGCTTTTACAAACTGCTTTAAAAGGTATTTATTTTTAAGGATTCTAAGAAGCATTTTTTGTCTTTGCATCAAATTTGAAAGCTTCTAACTGCTCCAGACACACATTAACGGAAGTGCCAATGTGATAAACAACAAAAGAAAGCCCAAGAAGCCTTTTCATCTCTAATTTCTTTAAGTCAAACCTTGAAAATGCATAAGTTTAAGTGAGGTCAAAAGATTTTTAAGTGCTAAGAATGAACTTGAGCCTTTACATCTAGCCTATGGTAAGGTTTACAGGAGAGCTTGCAATTGTATAAACTTACAATGCCCACTCCTTTAAACAGGAGCAGACATAAATTAATGCTAAGCACTTCTGAAAATAATACTATAAATCACCAACAAAATCTTTGGGATTAATCGAAGTGTCAGAGTTGTTCACTGAATGACAGATTTAGAAAATACCATGTGACATGACAACTCTGGGTTACAGTAATTTTCAGCAGTTCCACAGTATTTGTAACAATACAAACCAGCAAATTAACATTCTGTGTATTAGCCAATTTTAGCACAGCTCAGAAGCCTTTCTTTGGCCTACATTCTCAAGCAGCTTCCATACCTGACCAAAGGCAAACTGTTGTTGTGTTACTCCCACAGACGTGTGACTAAAGGTGCTGACAGACTTGGAGGAGGATGCTGGAAGACGATGCGATGCACTGACGGCAACTTGAGCTCTGTTCTGGCCCAGCTGATCTCCTGTGAAGTTCCCTCCCGATGCGACAGACTGAACGGATGCTCCCAGGCTGGGGTGCACTGAACCAGAAGAACTTGCAGCAGCAAATCGACCAGAAGCTGACATATTTGAGGCTGTGGACTGCCCAGGTGACATGGTGGTAAAACTAGATCTGCCTTGGGAAACGTTAGCTTGGCTGGGTGACAAATGCAACACCGTTGGTGACGCCTGCTGCAGTGGCACCTGTCCACCAACAATTTGTGAAGTTCCATGATTTACTATAACTTGGTTTCCAGGAGCTGTGAATGTCTGGCCTGAAACAAGCTGAACAGCTGTGTTCTGATTATTCAGCATCTGTCCTGAATACGATTGGTTGGCTCTTAGCATGTTTGTGGAGTTCCTGTTGAGCATTACGTGCTCAGCAGACACTTGGCCAGGAACCAGCTGGGAAGGCTGAGTCTGAAGAAGTTGTCCATTTATGGCCTGGACATGATGAACTGAATTAGAATTAACAGACAAACTTGTAGGTATGAGAAACTGGTTTTGAGGTGCGTGAGGCTGTCCCATAGGAGAATGGATAACAATACTACCTCCAGCATTGCTAACTGTCTGAGGTGTAACTGATTTTCTTGTATTTTGTTGTTGATTAACAATATTAACAGACATATGAGGACCAACTACTGAACTTTGAGGTGAGTTTGCAGAAGCAAATGGAATCCCTTGCTGTACATGATGTTGCTGTATTCCCAAGTTATTCACATTGTAAGCAGTCTGCTGACCCATCTGAATAGGCTTTGGTTGGATATTAATAGGAACTTTGTTAGAGTTTGGTGCCAAACCCCTTTGAATGATGATATTATGGACAGGCAATGAAGTCTGAAAATTTGTGCTGTTAAATGGAACAGTTACAGGTTGTGCTACGGGACTTGAATTTGAGTTACTGAACAGCGAGTTCCCATTTGGAGTTTGTCTATGAACCAGGAGGCCACTGCTCATGTTCGCAGGTGTTTGCTGACCGTTGCCTTTCAGTATTATCTGAGATCCATCGAGATTATTGATGGTCATCATGGAAGGTTGATTACTAAATGAACCAATCAGCTGTATCTGCCCAGAACCACTAATCTGGCTGCTATTAGACAAATGCTGGCCAGGAACACTAATTCCGACGTGTTGCATAAAGCCATGTTGCACACCAACTGTATTGCTTGCAAAAGATGCTCCAACAGGTTGCTGTACCACTTGAGTAACTCCTATAGGTTGCAACGTCTGACCTGAGTAATTAGAAACATTAGAAGCCTGAGTAAAGGATGCTGATGAAGAAGGATGAAGCTGAGCTTGTGCAAACTGTTGGCTAGAACCTACACTGGCATCCAAATATGCCTCTTCTGCCAAAGTCTGTTCAGTAATATTGGCCTCCTGCAAGGATTTCTGAAGAATATCAAAAGGCTGATCCTCAGTAAGATCAGGTAAAGGAGAAGACACAAGTTCATCTTCAAGAAACTGAAGGCTACTGGACAGCTGCAGTCCATCACTAGGCCCCTCTCCAAGCTGACCACTTACACCTTTTACAGACGACTTAGGATCAGTGTTCTGAAATGCAAAACAAGAAGTAAATCACTTTCAGAAACTCCAGTATCTGCTTTGTTTCCTCATTAGCTATTTTTCCATGCAAGCAAACTTTCTACACAGAATTAAACTCTTCCCATAGCATGTGCAGGATGATATTGACCCCATACAGTGAGCCAGCACAAACACATCACAGATACCACACTCACACCCTCAGACTGCTGGAGAGGCTTCTCTCCTTTCCCTTCTCAAATCTCTCAATACACAGCACTTAGCTCTGCAGCTGCACTGTTTCAAGAGGACATGAAACGCTCTCTAAGTGCCATTTTCCCTTCCTCAAGCTGAGCACTCTACTGACAAAAGGATAAAAGAAATGAGGAGGGAAAACACCTCCACTCTGATTCAGTTTGGGGCAAGGCTTCAGTAGCAACAGTAGAAGCAGAGAAAAGGCAGAAGAAAGCTTTTCTTCCACCAACTTCTATCAAATAAGATTCGCCTCCAAAATCCTACCAGCATTTCCATAATCACCTACTGTAAACTACTGACCATTTCATAAAGTTAAGGCATTATGCTAACTTCATGTTTAAAAAAATTTTAGAAACAAGGGAGTAAGAAAAAAAAAGTGTTACAGACTGTGGTTTATGCTCATAAAAAGAATACTGAGAACTATAAATATTGGAACTACCACAAATATTAAGTGGCACCTTTAACAAAAAAATCTGTCAAATCCACATCCATTAAGGCCATGATAAGGAAAATCAAAATGTATTTACTCTGGCCTACTGTCAAGATTTTCCTAAAACAAAGTTCTGTCCAGAAACTCTAGACAACACAAGCATCATGTTTCTGCAGATAGAATGACAAATTTAAATGCATAATAATACTCATGATAGTTTTAAGTTAGGCAAAGTACACCTTCTAAATTGCATGATCACATCTCAGCTATTCAGAAGCAACAACCAGTTTCTTTTTAGGTCAAGATAAATGGAAACTGTGGGTGTGCAATTATCAGTCACACTCATACTCTGAGCCTTCACTCCTTGAAGGTCATAGACGCTTGTTTTCACCTCATGTAAACAGTGTGAAGATCCTGCAAGCCGTAATTATCACATGCAATGATGTCCCCACCCTAACTTCAGTTCCCCAAGCATACTTATTCAGAATTGTACCCTAATCTGTAGTTCTGTACCCAATCTGTATTTTCTGAAACTTCAGTCATGTTTTAAAATATTAAAAGATTTTTCTTAAGATTAGATAAAATATTTTCAAGTTATAACTATTAAACTACAGCAAACTTTTAACATTTATGCTAATAGAGGAATTAAACCACTGTTTAAATGTCTCAGTGTCTGAACCTCAGGAACACCTAAAGCTACAAATCAGGTTCTCCACTGTACCTAGCTACCACTGGGCAGAGTAAAAAGTAATCACTAATTAGGCCATAATTAGGACTCTTAATGTCAGGTTCAGAGGGATTCCCTATTGCATCTCTAAGTTGTCCCCAAGTAAATGACCCAACTTTTACAACTGTGTAACCTAAACAGTCCCAGTAATGCTATTCCAGTTAGTACAAACAATACAACTATTACAACTACCAATAATAACACTATAACAACACTAATAATATGATTAATAGCTTAAAACTCTCCCACTGGAACAGAGAATCCCAAGTTTCATTCCCTGCTCCCAGGACTATTTAACATTAGAAAATGATTTTATATGCAAACACTGTAACCTTCCAAGTTAACATCTGAATCATTACTGTCCAGATTGAGAAGAGCCATGCAGAATGCCATGCTAATTTCAAGAAGAAACCAAAGCCTCTGCAGCTTTATGAATCTGCTTCCCAAGAAGAAGAGTCATATTCTCACTGGCTCCATGAATATTCTGCTCTCTTATGCTGTCCTATTTTACTGTAACAGGAGAATGAAAGCAGCCACCCAGTAAAAGCCAGGTAACAGAGCAATGGCTGGGGAAACCTGGGGAAGCCTCTCAAGACAACAGCCAGAGGAAACCAACCTGGAATCAGCAGAGGTGGTACAGACTCAACTCAGGGAAGGTTGGGATGGAGCATGGGGGCCAGTTTAAGGGAGTGGGAAGAGTGCTTTCTTTTCCTTCAGTCAGCAGGAACTTCATCTTGCTTGTGTTAGGTGTTGGCTGAGCATGCTTACCAGCTGAGGCACTTGAACCCTTGACACTGAATTTGTAAACTCTGCCACTGAAAGGCTGAGACAGGCAGCAAGATCTATCTCAATCCTAATTTATGGTAGCAATTCTGAATATATACAAAGACAGAACTTTCAGTATCTGCAAAAACTTTAATGGCAAAAGCCTCAGAAGCGTTTAACTTTTCAGGTATCCCATTTTATAAGCAGGGACTATGAAACTGTTTATGGTAACACTTGCTCCTTCCCAAGGAACTGTAAGAATCTGTATTTGTAATCAAGCCATTCTTCACCTATGTCAGCACAGGGCTCTCACAGGAGGGAGGAGGGAAGAGAAGATGGCATTGGTGGTCCTTGTGAGACATAAAAGGATGAGGACAGAGCATGCTGAGCATTAAACTGTAGTATGTCATCCAAGGAACATGTACTAGGAATCCCTGCTCCTCTGATCACCTGCCTTCTAGATTACTTACCCCAAATTTCACACACCAGAAAGCTCTAGCTTTCACCAAGTATTTTATTTCTTCCAACTGCTACTCCCACCTTGTCCAGAATCTCCCACTGCCCCTCAAAATTACTCAAGGAAACTCACTCTCTGAAAATACACCTGAAACACCTGACCCCTGTGCCTACCTAGTCATGCATCAGAAGGATGCCTACAAAGAACACCTAGAAAGTCTAGGCTATGACAAATGCATGTCATGTCACCCTTTTTCCCCCAAACCTGTTTTTGTCTTAGGATAAGTCCTCAAACCCCACCTCTGCCAGTCTGCATACAGACAGTCTGCTAACAGCCACAGCCTGGTACCAAGTCAAAGCCACGGTTCCCCATCAGCTGAAAATTGGGCATGCCCTGTTACTCTTGGTACCCTACTCCCTCACCATTATCTCAACCAGCTTGTCTTACACTACTGTGCCTACAGGAAAGTGACTAGTTCTCCACACACAGATTAATAGTTTTCAGAATTTCTGCATGCCAATTATTTAAGTCTACAAGTGTATCCATGTATCTATTATGAAAATGAGGCAAACAGATAAGGTAACAGTACAACAGAAAGAGGAATTACCAAGAAAATCCTATTCTATGTATTCAAATAACTTAATTGTGGGATTAACAATTTGGTTGTTTTAAAAAACACACAAATGAAACCAAAGAAATGTGGATCTGAAGGGATCTCTTAAGTCCTCCAGTCCAATATTCAATCAAAGCATGACTCCCACCCACACTACAGCCTTGAATTTATCACCAAGGATTAGGATTCCACAACCTCATTGTGTGAAACATGGTCCAGGGCTGCACAACACTCCTGGCAAGAAGGAACACTGAAGACTTCTTGCAACACCTAATGAATTTAAAGTAACTTCCCTAACACAGAAATTACAGGAAGCACGCATCCAAAATTACCTCCTGAGTCTAAAAAAAAAAATACAAAAAGAAAAAAAAAAAAAAAACAAAAAAAAAAAAAAAACAACTCACTCATTAATTAAAAAAAAACCTGTCAGCTCAGAATCTGTATAAACTAAGAAACAAAAGGGATTCTAACATGCACAGAGAGCATATGAATGACTAACTTTCAAGGTCTATCTTTGAGCACTACTACTCCTACAGTCACTAAAGCCACAAATGCAGTTTACTGAAAAATTACACTAGAGAGCATTTTCACTGCTCAGCAAGCTGCTTTACATATTTACAAAACACATCCCAACAGTGCAGTATTTTTCAATTAATTCCCCACTGAAATGCTTAAAATACTAACGGCACAAGATAGGTTCTATGTTAGTATTCAGAGCTTTCACATGAAAAAGCTGAAACCCACATCTACTTCATTCAGTTTTATGAAGCCAAGTAAAGCCATACAGAAGCATGCAATCTCAATACTAATGTAGTTTATCTCCGGACCACTTACATTGGAGTTGGCGAAAATTGAATTTGAGTTGGCTACAGAATATTCTGCATTAGTCAAGTCTTCATTGCTCTGGTAAAAGACAAAAATAATGTTTAGAACTAATACAGTCAATTAAGTTTATCTATGTCTAATACACAGCAATGTACTTACAGATTTACTACTAGGTCCATGTAGAAAATAATTCAGCGCTTGTGGGTCCCTGAAGGGGGAAAAAGAATAAAGACATTAACACTTTTTGGAAGTCCTTTTTACTAATAAGGCTAATTTAATTAAGCCACATACTGTACTCATGTAAATCAGGTTTCTAGTAAAAACACATCTTTCATTGAATACAATGCAAAGCTGAAAGTTTGTGTCATCTGGGGCTCTGTGTTTCTGCATCAGCACAACTTCCAGATGCTGATCATATCTGCTGCCATTGCAACAAGGCATTTCAAGCAAATAAACTATGTGGATCACAAAATGTTAGCTGTACTCTACTCTATTTCCCTTTATGAGGGTGATACTCATATTCTCTTGAAAAATATGGTATTTTATGACAGCACACAGTACAAAACCTAAGGAATATACTACCACCAAACAACATGAGAACTAAAACAGGTACCACCTCTTCTACAGCTAAACTGCAATGCCTTGTTTAGCTAGCACCTAATAGGGTATTTACAAACCTGATTCTTTGATGGGTTCTCTGTCACTTTTGAAACAAGTTAATAAAAATTTATGATTGCCAGAGTAACAGTTCCCGCATGAAGAAGAAGTGGCACCTTTTCCAAGTGAAACCAACCATAGAAATAATTGACTAAATATTATGAATTTCAGTGTATTTAATTAACTTAGCACTAGCTAAGTTAATAAAAATAATATTAAAAATGTAGTCGGATAGAATGAGTGTCAAAAATTCAAACAAATACAAATTACATTAATTTAGCTGTATGTATAGACCAAGTAAAAAGAATAAAAGGCTGTGTTACATAGGATTATTATAATGCAACAATTTTACAGCATTTCCCTTAGCATGAGGAGTAAATTGATATGGGATTCTTTGATTTTTAAAACATGTTTATTGATTAACAAGTAATAATAAAACATTTTTTAGAAGCAGGAGATTATCATGTAAAAAAGCAGTAACTAAAAATGTCTCCTTCTTGCTTGATGGTCCTAGAAAATAAAGATGCATAAAGTCAAAGATCTTTCAAGCTCACAACCCTCTTCTAAAAGGACAAACACAACTCTACTCCTTTTTTTTCCTTAAAAAAAAAATCCCTGTGTTCATGGGTTTACAAAAGACCTGACAGTACTTGGCAGGGATGTTATTGTACTATTACGCTTACAATAGTGAATTGGTTACATATATTTTTAAAACAAATGTCATTTTCATAGTAGATTTCACAGAATTTCAAAAATTAAGGAGCACAGAACTCATGATCTCATATAGGGTTCTATTATGCTCATGAATTTTATCAGTAAAATAACCAGGCCATTTAATACTAATCACCCTCACTGTCTTCCAATCGTGCAAAATGCAATTAAAAATTAAGAACACTTCATAACCTCAAATATTGTCTTTAGTAAGGAAGGAATTTTAAATGGCACTTACCAAATTACAGATCAGATTAAAAAAAAGTTTTCCGTTCTTCTAGATGCTTAAGACAATAATTGCTGCCAGCAGCAGCAAGAACACTGTAATTTTTCACACAAACACTTGTCTGTATAGAGAGCACTTCATTTTCTGGACCACCTGTGATCTTGTAGCAGGATCCTAATGATTCATGCTCATGACAGAGCACTTAATTGTCCCATGATCATCTTTATGTTCATGTTCCAAGCAGGAAGTGTTTCCACATGGCCACAATCAGAAACCTCGCACAACAGTTACTCCACAGAATGTAATTGAGGCTTCACTGGCAAAGTTTCTGCTACAGCATCCAGGGCAACCCTCAAACTACGGCAGCCACCCTGGGGCTGTTTTGGTCTTTCTGAAGTTACAGCTCTCACTGCTTTCACTGGAAGTTTTCAGGTGTGTGAGAAAGGTAAAAAGCCTAATTATTTCCTACACTTAGTAAAAAATTCTCGTATGAACTGGGAATGATCTTTTAGCAGCAGCTATGAGACTGATATCAATCTAATTTCTAGCAGAGTTTGAACAAAGTATTGGACATGAAAAGCTCAATCCTCTTCCTGTGTTTTATATGCATTTATAGCATATTATCTGTTTCTGAATACTGACACAAATGATAGGCAAAGGAAAGCAACTTGTCACGTATACATTCCACACAAAACTTGTTCAAGCTTCAGCTATCCTAATTACTTTTGGAAATTGCCACACAGAATTATCTAACTCCATATAAATCTGTTATGGAAGTAAGGAGAGGGGGCCACAAAAAAAACCACCAACAACACGCATGTCCATTCAAAGTCCCTGATTTTATTAAAATCAAGTATCTTCGACCAAAATGCTGGTAAACTCTTTGTTGTGAATGGGAAACAGTACAGAGAGCTATTCTTTTATTCTAGCATTTAGAAGCAAATGTATATTACTAGTAGAAATAAAATATTTAAGCATTTTGAATTAAGAAAAAATAATTCATAATAATAATTTTGAATTAAGGAAAAAAACTCTTCCCTTAAAATACAAGCCTAGTATTAAAAAAATATCTAGTTTCATTACTCAAAAAATTTGACATCTTTGGGGATTTGTTTAAAAAAATATTATTTGCTATGAAGTTTGTAGTAGCATCCCTAGTAACATGCATCAACACTGATCTGGTATTACCACTACCTGAGAAGAGAATCCATTCTCAATGAACACCCATTCCTTAGCCTCTCCTGAGGAGAATGTCAGCAAGTGGACTGTCAGCTAGCATCCATTGGGATTAAAGGCTTTGCACTCCACACATCTCCACGTGGAAGACATGAAGCATGTCTGCTCATTTCACTACAAGTCACCTCATCTTTAGACAATACCAAGACAGAATCACCTTCTAAAAGATGATTTTGCAAAATTATGATTCCCAACTTTTCTGCAACAATTCTTGTGGAAAACTTACCCAATAAGATCAAGGAGACAGGATTCATCATCGTCATCATCCATGACAACTAGAATAAAGGAGAAGGCAGATATTTGATATGTATCACACAAAAGTTTGTTTTCAACAACAAAACCAATTTGGAATATCTCAGTATTTTTATTAAACAATTTAAGAAGCTGACAGTTATCTACTATTGACAAAGTTTTTAAGTAGACCTGCACCTTCTACAGATGTCTGCTGATTTATCTCAAAATCAAATTCAGTCACATGCAAAGATTTACAAAATCCCATGCAATGTTTTACCATCCAGGGAATTTTTAGAATTTTAAATCAGAGAAATAAAAATGATTAACCAAACTGATTAAAAAGAACTCCTAAGACTTAAAGTAGTAAAAATATCAACACTGAATGCAATCTAAGACTCCAATTAAAATGCTTCTATAGGAATTTATTCCCAGCTAATCCCAGAGAGGGAATAACTAAATACTACAGAGTCTACAAAGACTGTTAAACATTAGTGGCCGTAGTCACTAATTTGAGCAGCCAAAAAGGTAAACAAACTTAGGTCCATGTCACAAGGACGCTGCACAGTCTACAATCAAAACTGTAGCCAAAACATGACAAAGCATTAAAAGAAACACTGTTTTCTAACAGACCTTCCTTAGCAATAGCTAAGTGTTAGTGTGGCCACTTCTAGTTCCCCCTCAGCAATATTCAGGAGTGTATTTAAACTTGAGTTTAACAGTACAGAGTTCTGACAGTCCTTTTAACAATGGGTAGGGAGGGAATTTATGTGCACTGCCCAACCTGAGGGCAACAATCAAATGCAGAGCACTGTAAGCCTCACAGTGTCACAACCACCAACTCCTCACACACTGCCTACTCCATCAGGGACTGCTGCACCAAAAAGTCTCACACTCCCTCTCCCCTCCAACTGCTCCTCCTTCAAAGCTTCTGGGCATATTAGGAGAGCCCAAAGCATATTCTGGGTTCTCCTATTCATCCCAGACTATCATCCCCCTTGCCCATAACTGTGAGGATCCCATCTAATCCACCAGTTCAATTACCAACTGATGTTACTGTTTCCAAAATTTCTTGGTACCCTGGCTTCCTTTAAGTTATCCAATCTCATCTTTACCATATTTTATACTCAGATCAAGTTGATCATTGCATTCCATGCTTGGTTTTTTTCTCGATTCTCCTTAAAAATTGTGCTGTCATACTGATCACTCAAATGTTATAACACAGTTTTGGCTTTAATTCATTCTGCTCTCTCTCTTATTTCTTGACAAATAGAAACTTGTCCCTGACCAGAGATCCACATGAATCATTCCTCATCCTGATCTCCATAATGATTAAAACACTGAAGGGACTGAAGCACCTGCTATACAAGAGACTGAGAGCACCAGTACTGTTCTGCCTGAGGAACAGAAAACCTTGGGGAAATCTTTATCTTGTATATAAATACCTGGTGAGAGAGTGTTAAAAATACTGAGCCAAATGTTTCTGAGTGATATCCAGGGAATGAACAAGAGGCAAAGAGCACAAATCAAAATACAATAAACCAAAAAGTTTATGTAGACAAAAGAAAAAACTTTCCTCTTTTAAAACTCTGAGAGTAGCCAAATACTGGCACAAGTTTTTCAGCAAGGTCTCCATCCTTGGAGATACCCAGGACACAGCTGGACCACAGCCTTGACCTGACTGCTCTGACCCTGAGCAGCCTGCTCTGGTTGAGTCTGCTCTGAGCAGGACAGCGGATAACGTGATCTCCAGATATTCATTCCCACCTTGGCTGTCTTGTGATTCTGTAACCTCTTTCCTGAAATTTTTCTATACTCTACTGGTTCTGAAAATAGCTTATATTGTAGACTAGCAGAGGGTACTGTGTCCTCTATACTGCAGAGCCTTATTTGGATTTTGTCTCTGTGCTTTAGCTTACAGTGATGGTGAAGCAGAAATGAAGCACATGTCAGTGTGAGGAGTATTCAGTATCACCTCTCAGGGAAGACAGAAAAACAAAGCACAGCTACAGAGAACTACCTCAATGTTAACAAAAATCAGCATTCAGGAGGTGATTATGCACATTAAGAAAAGCAATTTCTCCCATGATTCAGCAATCCAGCTGCTTACTCTTGCATAGAGCCACCAGCTTGAGCACTGATATTGCAATTCAATGCTAAGCAAATGGCATGACATAGTATGATGTCAGGAAATTTAAATATAAATGTGTATTACTAAGAATAAATTAATAAGCAATTAGCATTCTGTTTTAACTGTACTGATAGTACTACTTACAGAAAGCTGTTATTTCCTCTAACTGCTGAAAGCATACCCATGTCTCAAGAATAAGGTTCCAAAGTCTCCTAGCTAACCAAAAGCAAAAATTTATACAAAGTCAAAATTATCCTTGTTTTCACACTGCAAATCTACTTTTGTATATCCCAACCCATGTGTCTGTGGAAATACTGACAGCATTATTTAAACATCATAAAATGTCTTTCCTTTACATAACCAAATATTCTCCATGATTTTATCATAATAAGGGTTCACTAATACCTGAAGTGATACCATAGAACTTTCTTCAATTAATACTCTGGAGGTATTAAAACAACTGACACAAATCAAGATAAATTTGTTAAATTCACTGAATTCTTCAAAATTTGAATAGAATGATCAGAAGGAAAATAAAATGCATGTAAATACTGGTGTGAGAAAATCCTAATAGCAATACATTATCTTCACCATTACACCCACTTCTGAACATACACTTGGCTTTACGAGCTAAACGTGATACAAGAAAATCTACCCAACATACTGCAAACTCCTGCGAGTTTACCCCAGATAACAAGTTTTACTGCTCCACATGATGCCATATGGTATGGGACATCCCTTTGGTCAGCTGGGGTCTGATCTGCTGACTATTTCCCCTTCCAGCTTCTTTCACATCTCCAATCTCCCCACTGGTGGGGTGCTGTGAGAAGCTGAGAAGTTCCTGACTTGGTGCAAACACTGCTCAGCAACAACTAAAACATCAGGGTGTTATCAACTTTATTCTCATCCTAAATCCAAAACACAGCTACTAGAAAGAAAAGTAACTCTACCCCAGTCAAAACCAAGACAATATCCACCCTTTATTCTATACCAACCTCATCATGCCCAGATCCCACACTTTCCAATGCATCCCACATTATCACATCCACCTTTCCTGTCTTTTGCCATATATGCAGACATACAGGCCCATAATCTATGGGCCACCCCTCTAAGATGTCCACTGAGTTCATTTAGTCCAGGACTTTGGGCTCCATCTGTCATACCATTCCTTCAAAGTGAAAGAGATGGTAAATGCTGTTGGGATTATTACATGCTGAAGTCTGGTTCCATCACTGCTGTGCTCGTCTGGTTCTACCATCACTGCACTTTGCTCAGTTTCATCAGCACTCATTCTTCATTAATCTGAGCAACCCTGACAGCAACACCATTGGCATGGCATAAAGCAACCAGAGTAGTGATGAAATACAGTAGTATACAGCAATTAACATCCTCACTGGTTGTTCTAACCCAAAATCAAATACCCTAGAGTACATACAAGACTTCCTCATCCCTCTGCATTACCCACTAAGTGCACCCAGGTCCTTGAGCAAATCCAATCCCATGGATGGGTCTGTCTTTGCCCAAGACAGGAACAATCCAGATTGCCTTCCACAACACAATTTTCTCTGTGCACTAGAGGAACTTTATCCACTTCTACAGTATGTGAAAATTTTGATTGGGCAGGGCCAGCCCTTTTAGCAGATCCCCTATCCCAATGTCTGTATGTCCCAGTACCCCTTGCTCTCAGAGTGGCCTTGAACAATCCTTTGTATTGTTGGATTTTCCCAGAGGCTGATGCATGATAGGGAAGAATATATATCCAACTTTTTCACCTAGGAGTCCATGTGGTTGCTATGGAAATGAGTCCTGTATGTCCTGTGGCTTCCATGTGCCAAATCCACAGTCCAATAAACCTGGTAGTCAAATCTGGTAGTCCCCTCCCTTCACCCAGCTGGAGGCAGGGCCCCTCTATTCCTGGTCACAGTATTTATTATTACAAACACAAATCAGCCCCCACACTGGCGGGGTAGTATGAGAAGTTGAAAAGGCCTTGGCTTGGTGCAAGCACTGCTTTGCAACAACTAAAACATCAGTGTGTTATTCTCATCCTAAAGCCAAAACACAGCACTGTTCTGGCCACTAGGAAGAAAATCAACTCTGTTCCAGCCAAAACCAGGACACTGCAGGTTTAAATCTTTTTAACTAATGCCTATTTTCAACAAGGATTACCAAACGATTAGTGCCCTGTTAATTTCAGGAGAGCAACAGAGGCAGCAGCAAGCAATCTGACAGAGTACTTGCACACCCAAAAACAAATTCACCCAAAATTCTAGTTCGAAAAGAGAAATTTGAGCAACATGTGACCTTGACACAGATGATCATTTAAAAGTGTGTTAACAAAAGCAAGACTGTCCTGAGGAATTTTCCTAAAATCTTTCGTATGGCACAAACAAAAGAAAAGTTTGTCACTTTTCTTGCCAACTATCTTTTCTAGTTTTGTGTCCTCCTCACTGTTTGTTAACATACAGTGTGCCACAGCAACGAGTGATGTATGAAATGGGTATAAACCATATTAAGCCATGAGAGTTTGAAAATAAAACCTGTCACAATGAGTGAAGTAAAGAGTTATGAAGCCTAAACCAGTGGTCTTCAAAGCAGGATGTGTGCAAGAAAATCCAGTGGGGTGCAAGAAGAAAATATTAAAACTTCACTAGTATATGAAGTTATAATATACATACATATACTTGTGTATGCAAAATAATATAAATATATTGGGGATGCATGCTCAAAAATCTTACCAAGAGGAGTGTGCAATCAAAAACATTTGGAGACCATTGACCTACAGCCTTAAACATTGATTCACTTCTAGATTTGGACCAGTCTTTGGAGACCTCAGCCAGTGGAAGCTCTAGGTGAGGCTTGGCTGGGCCATTGGGACCCATGAATGCATCCAGGGCTCTGCCAAGAGCCCACACTAGAGACACCTGGGGAAAATACACTTTGGGAAGAGTCACACAAACTGCTGGAGCACTGTTACAATGTAGCCTAGCAAATATCTAATTATCAATACTGGTCTACAGCGTCTTAAAAAAAAAAAGCCACAAAAAAAATCTGCTTATAAGTAGGCAAATTCAGCTCTGCTGGCGCATCCAACTAATTTACAAAGGGCAATCCTCATTAATTAGTCAGAGGTATTCCCTGTAGCTTATTAGCAAAGCCCCTACCATTTTATTTCTTATTTCTGCTACCACAATGGTGAATACAGGATATATTTCAACTTGGATAACATGTACTTGTGCAAGAAGCCCTGCCTATCCCGTCTGGGAAATAGCCAGAGTGCCCTTTATCACACGTTCCCGAACAGAACATAAGAGAAGTTGAAAGTAATAAAACTGACAAGGAAATCCCTGCTGTGCAAGCCAATCCTCTGGGAGACTCTCATTACTTGGCCTTAAAGCCTCTGCCTTCATTTCAACACTCTGACCTACTACAGAGCAAAGAGCAATAGAAGATGAATAGAGCAGTCCTGCCCTCCTCTCATCCACTTTCCCTGGGTCAGCTCAAGGCTTTGAAGAGTCATCTGGAACAAAAACTGATCTGATAAAATACATTGATCTGTTTCAACTTAGGATGAGCTTCTTGATTGGTTCTGGCTTGCCATAGGGCTACAGCAGCACCAGTGCCAGCACAAGAGAGGGAATGAGGTAGGTGGATAGTTAAACACAGGGAAGGCAGCCGTGCTTCAGTCAGCTTAAAGCACATGGGGGCTGTAGCACACACGCGAATACACACATCACCACAGTGCAGGCAGCGGGCCAGGGGAGCGATCATTCCCTTTCTACCAGCACTCGTGAGCTCCCAGCCGAAATCTGTTGGGCTTTTACACACAGACACTGGTCTTAAGGATACAAAACAACGTGAAGGAGTCCAACAGAGTGCAAGTAAAATCATGTGCTCACAGGAAGGAACTGCTTTTTTTAGGCCTGGACAACAGAAGGCAAACCCAGGTGCTACCTGCAGCCTGCTAAAAGAGGGACAAAGATGAGCCAAGCAGGTCGCCTCTCGTCAGCACACAGCAAGACACAAAGCAAGAGCCAAAACATCTAACACAAAAAATCCCAACCAGATGCAAGGAAAAACATTCACAAACAAGAATCTTCAAGCAAGGGGTTGGAATCATCCTCTTTGGAAATTTTCAAAACACAAATGGCCCTGACCAACCGTTCTAACTATGAAGCATGTTCTGCTTACAGAAGGGGGCAGGGCCAGGTGGTCCTTACCACCCTAAATTTTTAACCAACGTGCTACACAATCCACAGTATCATGTAACACATGCAGGGCCTATGACCTGCAGTGCCATTAAAACCAGATTTGACCAAAAGCAGTCCAACTATTCACACACACTTCAGATACTATCCATATTCTAAGAGCTGCAAACACTGGATTTTAAATTTACTTAAGTTATATTCCAGCTTGCAACAAGAGAATTATTCTTCTTTCTCAAAGTCACTTATAATTTCATACAGCCTTAACAGATCGTTTCAGATACAAAGCAATAAACCTATTTTCACTTTCTGTAAAAAGCACAAGCTAATCTAGAACAATAATTTCCAAAAAGTGTGATATAATCAACATCAAAATATGGTAAGTCACACATAAATAAATCTATCTGCAAAACTGTTGGTAAAATCTAGTTTTTGTGCAAATACATGAGATCCATTCCTGATTGGCAGCATGACTCCTGAGAGTGAACACTGACCTTTGGAAATCGATGCTTTAGAGCAAGGTAATGACTGCTGTAGCTAAACCTTTATAATGGGAGATAATCAAACTTGCACACAGTAACATCCCCAGCACCTGAAGCAATTACTGTTGGAGTTATGACATACACCCAGTGATCCTCACAACTTCAGTATGCCTTTGTACACATCCTGTCAGCAGGAATTCTGACACGATCTCTCTCATGCTTTATAATGAACCTGTCCTATAAAATCTTCTAAATTGTTCTGTTGCTCTATCATTTTCCATTCAGAATTTTAATCTACAATCCCAACACAATAGGGAATATCTGAAGAAGTGCATTGCCACTGGAAAAACAATCACCACAAAACAAAACCAGAACAAATCAGTTACTGCAACAGTCACTGCAGAGAATGGTACTGCTGTGAACTGAGCGTGCTACATCAAATTCGTGGCATTTTCATCCCTCACAACCTTTCTGAGCACGGAGTAAGATAACTCTATTTAACCCAATCCATCCCTTGCTAAATTACATAAAAGGATTGCAGCAGCATTAAGTGACACCACACTGACTGCAGAGATCAAACACCCAGAACTGAAGTCCTTACCTCACACAAAATTCCACCAAAACTCTCATTAATTTCCACAGTGCTAATATTTTGCTCTGTGTGCTTTGAACTAGGGGGGAAAACCCCAAGCTGTTTCATCATCCCCTGGGTAACATACAGTCCTAGTGTGCACTTCTGATTGCTAAGGTGCTGTAACCACTGCCTGCCTTACCCTGTCAGTTCTCTCTCAGGTTCCTATCCAACAGGCAGCCTCGGATTCAGTGAAGGAAACTCCTAGACAGGAACAACCAGACCTCATTTGCATTCTCTGCAACACAGAAGTGTAAGAAAAGAGTGTAAACTCAAACCCTTATTATCATGCAGTTTATTCTAAAATTTAAAGTCAATACTACTTTTGAGCAATCTAGTATCTTGCAAAGTGCATTTCAGACTCTTGTAAGTAACCAAGACTCTATCTTATTATCAACTTAAGAGCTGCTTACCACGTCAAGCCCTGTGTTTTCAAGAAACTGATTTTTACATGGATGGAATACAAAAATTTATATTAAGAGGTATTTCCACTCCCCCCTCCCATTACTGTAAAAAAATTATATGCTGCAGAACAATGACAAGTACTCAATGGAAAAGAGGTAAATATTGAAAAATTAATTGCAAATTAAAACCTCACTCGGAAGTTGTAATTATCCAAAAATGGTCATTTCAAGACAACAGGAGTAAGGAAAAATAATCATTTTAAAATGCACTTTGTGAAACACAAAGACTTACTATTCATTCATAAACTAACTATGCTGTACTTATATCCTACAATATGGAATTACTCCTTATGAATATTTTCTTCTCCAGAGTAATCAAAAGTTACTACACTGTTGCAAAATCTACCAGGAACTGTGCTCTAAAATACAGCTAAAAAACTAAGAAATTTGGAATTCTAATCTAGTAACACAGTGCATTATGCAAGCATTACCTTCTTAATATTCAAAAATAAGTTTTCATTCCAAGAATCTAAATCTGAATGGTACTTCTAAGATAAATTTGCAGTGCTTGAAATTAGCTGTAAAACTGAATTAAATCATCAATATTTCAGACATCTGTATGCCACAAAGTATGAGAAGAAATTGGTAATTTTAAATATTCAAAAGAATGATTAAAAACCTCTCTAAGAAAAACTACTCTAAAAAATAGAAATCATTCAGGAATCAGAAAAACAGCAACAGGAAAAAAACCACAAAAGTGCTTCCTCTCAGGAATTGCTAGGTGCAACATTATGCCTCTTCATGGTTTTTAAGATCTGGCAGATGAACACCCTAGAGCACAGGATGCTCACACATCCAGTTCCACACACAGAAGGGTAAATAAAAACCACAGACAACCTACAATAGGCTGTTTATCCAATGCCTACATTTCCCTTTAGTAGGCCCTTAAAAAAAATACTGATTTGATTTGCCAAATGCAGTAACTTACCAAACTTCCAAAAACTACAGCGATATTTTAGTATGTTAGGGGGAAAAAAGGAAATGTGCAGTTCAATTAACAGTATGTATGACAGTAATGGCTAATCCAGCTACAGTCAACACACCAGCTACACAAGTGAACACCCTGTGTGGCTGTCTACAGTCAGCTTCCCTGAGATACACATGTTCAGCACAGAATTTCTGATTTATTCAATACACTTTTTTTTCTACTGCATCCACAGCTGTTCTTGGCAATATCAAAATCTTAACAAGACTTGTATCAGGAAACAGATTTTTTAAACCACATAGAGAAAATCCAGAGTAACCTCAGGCTGAAGCTCAGGACGCTTCCTTATCCCATGGGATCTCCCCGGCTAAAGGCTGGGCTCAGACCTTTCCTCCAGCAGTGACTATGCTCATCACTATGCTATGGCCTGTTTTGGGCTCTGTCCTCCAAGCTGCTCCACCACATACCCAATTCCTCAGGAATTTCAATATTCATAAAACATTTTGACAGGTCCCGGTTTCATCCCACAAGACACACCGGAGGCAGGATCTCAGCAATTCCATAGGAAGGAAACATTCACCTGTCCAGAAGATATCAGGTGCTCTTAAGCATTTCTACAAACTACTGTAGGCTATAGTACAGACTATTAGCATATGTTCTTTGTGCAAAATAATACTCCAAGAAATGTTGAGTCAGTCCCTCAGGTGGTTTTTACCTTGTTTCTACTCAAGAATACTCAAGCCCCATACTTCTCATTGTGAGCATATAGTTTTTAGAGATTTTGAAAAAATATTCTGCATGCCCATAACTTCTTTATGAACTGAATGTTTCTCAGCTGATTTATAAACCAATGCCCAATTAATACCTTTTCATTGCCACTCTATTCCATACTAATTTAAAAACCAAACTTTGCCACAAGCATGTTCAGATGAGCTAGTTAGTATCTGCTACCAACTGCCAATAATTAGCTGAACAGCCATTTCTACTCCTTTCAGTTATTATGTTTGGGAGGTCTACTGAAAACTGAATAGGATTAATTGACAGATGTGTAACTACTTCAGCAGTGCAGTCCATATCAATACCCCAAATCCAAGCTGAAAATCCTCCATGCTGTCCTTCTTGAAGCCAATGCCTTGCTGACTGCCAATGGAAATTTCACCACCTATTTCAGTGGGGGCCAAGATAACTTCTGTAGTTGCCTTATCTCAATAAATTCAAGCTCCCACGCCAGATCTTGTAATTCCATGCTTGGATCAAGTTCACAGTAAAACTACTGCAAGATCCACCTGAGACAAGGCATTAAGATCAGACTTTACAAAAATAATCAGTCTCTTGCAATGAAGTTAAATCCTCCTCTCCAGACCTTCCCTCTCCATTTCACCATTGAGAAGGTATTTCTCAATACCTTCAATGAGAAAAAGGTTACTGTGTTAGGTTTTTACAGTGACTTTACCTGCTTTCTATTTCTTTTGGTAAGGATTCCCTTAGCCCTAGAACATTTTTAAACTAGTGCAAGAAAAGAAAGGAATAATTTAAAAAAAAATCTTGATAGTCTCTCTGTGCTAGTTAATGATGGTAATCATTATTTTGTCTAAAACCTCAACAATTCTCAAATAATGCAAAATATTACAGACAGAGTAGCTGGGGTTTTTTTCAACTATGAAAGCAGGAACAAATTAACACTTGAAAAAAAAAGACACACATATTCATTTAACTATGTGATGATCTGAAAAAAACCTCAGTTCAGATTAGTGCTTACACATTTATGGTGGTGTAACAAGGGCACTCCCAAAACTGCTCACTCTTTCAAATTACACAGTGGCAGGTCACAATGAATGTTAGAACAGTTTATTATTGTCACTGCTTTTCCTCTACCATAAGAAAGGAAAACACACTTGTTTTTGTAGACAATCCCCATGTCTATATGGCAATAAAAAAACCTTTCAAGTACAGATGCAGCTTATTCCAGCAGAACCACTGTAAGGAATTCTGCCAACTCTCTGAACAGTGACTATATTATCAAAGAGGCTCTCATGCCTGCTCTGTAGCCACTACTTAGACAGCAATGACACACTTTCATGCTGGCTGCTACAACTACCCTAAAAAGCAGCAGCCATTAGATTTACCACAAGCCTAATGCAGCATGAAGAGGCACAATCATTGACCATTAGAGCCTCAGTGTGAAACCCAACTGCAGTTGTGCAGACACAACTTCTCTGGAAACCATGTGAAGTATACCAGCAAAACTCTGGAAAGGCAGCAGGCAGCTCACCCAGGCATCCCAGAGCTCTTCAGCTCTAGCCATGGGCTTTCCTCTGCTGGAAAACTCCATTAATAGAGAAAGGGACCTTGGAGGAAACTGGAAATGCAGCTTATACTAGCACAACTTTGGGGCTTTCCTCTCAGTAGAACTAAAATAAATACATAAACTGTACTGGAAAAGGACATGCAAAGGAGCTGCACATCCATAAAGTGATGTAAATACTTAGCAACAGTACAACCATCTCTGTAGCTGGGCCCACACATTTAGTGAGAGCATTTTCAAACCCAGGATACAGGCATTGCACACAAAACAAGCACTCCAAGTATGCCCAAAAAAAGCACACACCTGAACACCCAGGTATCACACCAGTGAGTAAGCCAAGGTGTATCAATGGAAGCACAACCAGGCTACTGTATCAACATGGTGAGTGAGCTCTGCATTCCTCCACAAGTGTAAACAAGTGACACCCAATGCAAAGTGCTACTTGCAACAACAGCCACAAACTTTAAAGCTTGGAGAGACAAAAAAACACGTCTAAAAAGAACAGGTCTGGAATATTGAAGTAGTAGCCAACACAGATCTCAATGCAAGATGAGAATATACTGTGCTTTAATGCAAGCAGGCCGCTGTGCAGATTATATATAGTCATTTGGCAAGTACTAGGCCCTGAGAGAATATAAACCAGTCATTTTTATCCTGTTTCTGCCATGTCTTCACTATTTTCACAAATTAATGAAGAAAATCACACACAGTCTTCCAGACATTCAGACGTAAGAGAGAAATTTTATTACTTAAAAGTATGCTACCATTAAAAAAAAAAGAATTCACCACTTTAATCCCAAGATTCCTGTTAATGAAAATAATCACTTCAAGAAGCAGTGAATTTAATGATGTAAGATTCCTGAAATATGTGAACAAATACTGCATTCTACATTCAAAATCTCAGTAAATAAGTTTCATAACTGGTGTTTTACTCAAAGCTAAAATGCTAACAAGTCCCCAGGAAAGTCTTTTAAAAAGACAGTTTATATCCAGACAATTTTTTGTATATTCCAAGCAATAAGTGTATTTCACAGAAATGTTGTTTAAACCCCTTCAGCAGGCAAAAAAAAATTTAAACATTTAAATAATTAAAAATTTATAAGATTATTCCTGAATTTTAAAAAATCTCCCACTTCTATCAGGAATGAGCAATGAGAATGGGGAAGCCATCCTCTGATGTGTCAAAAAACAGAAATCCAAGAACTACACAAGCATTCCACACTCCTTAGCAGGCACAGCATAAGCTGGTTTGGCAGCACACTTTGCTCTTCCCAGGTACAGGTGATGTTGGAATTAAGCTGAAGCCTCATCAGCTCTGAGCAGATCATACAGAAATGTTAAAAGAAAAAAAAAAAGTGGTTTTGGGAAAAAAGGTATTTGCAGTGCTCTACCTAAAAACAGCACCAAAACAAAACTTCAAAAATATATTAAGGTGGAGCTGTCAAATTAAGTAATTTGGAAAAATCAGCTTCCCCTTAGACATAAAGGAGCAATAAAAACTTGAAAATATGCTAGTCCCTCCCCCCACCAAAATATTACTAAGACAATAACAGCAACAAAATAAGCAACCGACCCACCAAAAAATTACCTATGCTTTTATTTTTGCAAGCACTACTGAAACCCCTTCAGTGAAGAATACCTTGCCCTATGCACTACACCGGATCATCTTTTAAAGGTGGATTTTTTTTTTTTTTTATGTCATGTTTTATTTTTCGGCCATCAGAAAAAATGTTCTTTCAAATATTTTTTTAATTCCTATACGCTGAATGACCAGAAACACGTATTTCAGAGGTAAAGAAAACAAGCTTGTAAGGGCTGTTGGCGGGATTGAAGCTGCGCGCACGGGCCCGTGCGAGCCAAGGCTGTTTAACCTCAAGACGGTGGCCAAGGATTAGGAAAGGAGTGGGGGGGGGGGGGGGGGGGGGGGGGGGGGTACGGGAGGGAAGCAAGGCTTTGAGGATTTCGGGGAGATCTCGGCTCCCAAAGCCCAAAGCAGAAATGCTTCCCAGACAAGACACAGAAATATGGCCCGAGCTGGGCGCGACGGCACCGCCCCACACGGCGCGGCGACAGCAGAAAGGACCTTAAAATGGCGCCCGTGGGGGAGGAGAGCGGGTGAAACTGCGCAACAAACGCTGGCAGGGAGCCAGGCAGCGCCATCTTCCCGCTCCCCCGCGCAGCCGGGGCTGCCTGCCCGCCGAGCCCGGGCACGGCCGGGGCCGCCGCCGGAGCCGCTCTCCTCTCTGCCCGGCAGTCCCTCGGCCACCCCGCGCTGCCCAGCCCGGGGAAGGAGAGGAGCGGCGAGCACGGAATGGCGAAAGGCAGAGGCCTCCACATCTCATTCCTCCCCACAGTGATTAACAACAGCTCTGAGGAAATATATGCGTGCCCTCTACACGTCGTTCGATTTTGCCCGGCTTTTAACGTCTCTATACCTGTTTTCTGCCATCATCTGTAACTGAATTTTGTAATAAATACCAAAAAGCAAAATATAATTTACATACTGAATACCGCCCATGACTCAATAAATGTGAACAGCGACCCTTTTAGAAAACCCCCTTCACAACCTACTACTCTCTTAAGCCACAAGTAAAAAAATCTATTTACAAAATATTGCTTCTTTTTACGCAAAATAATCCCAGCAGCACAAAGGATCGGGTTCACATCCACTCTACAGCGAAGCCAAAGGGGTCACTCCAGAAAGAGACGCTTTATTGTGTTTTAAAGAGGCGTTACAATTAAATATTTTCTCTCTCCAAAAGAAAAATAAAAAAAATAAATAAATAAAATAAAAGGCACATCGAAAAACTTGATCCCGAAAAGGCGAAAAAAAAAATCGCATTAGCCCAAACCTACCGCCCGAGCATTTCGCGCACCCACAAAAAGCGGCACCGTTTCCATTCCTCGGTTAAAAGCAGGAGGCACGGAGCGATTCGGAGGAAATTGCAAATAAAAAACAAAACAAATCAAATCAAATCTAGTGGCGACACTGAAAACGAGGAAATGAGTGAAAAATAAATCCCCAGCAGGTACAACTCTGAGACACAAGCTCAAAGAAAAGACAAGATTAGGGTGGTGGCGAGTGGAAGGGGGAAAGAAAAAAATCAAGCCATGAGCGAAAAAGGAAAAAAGAAAAGAAAAATCCTTCCCAGCTGCACAGCCAGGAGAGAGACGAAGTGTCTCCATTTTCCCGACGAGGAGGAAGAAAAGACTGTTTCACAGACCACAGAGCTTTAGAGAAAAGCAAAGAAACGAGGGGGGAAAAAAAAGAGGGAGGAGATTTGAAAAGATTATTTTTCTTTCTCCCTCACACACTCTCTCTATCCCCCTCTCTCCCTCTCACTCTCTCACACTCACACATACACACACACACTCTCTCTCCCTCCTCTCCTCTTTCCATCCCTCTCTTGATGGCCATCAAGGGGGCGGAAAAAAAAAAAAAAGACAACAACAACAACTAATTTTAAACCGGCTCAATCAATGAGTCATTAAAAGAGATTTTTCTTCCCTCCTCTCCTGAATTTGCATGGCATCAGCAAGGAAAAAAAAAAAAAAACCCACCCCAAACCTCTCCCCTCTCTGCAGCTATCAGCCTGGACCTGAAACCTTATCTCTCCCTTCAACCCCCCCCCCCCCCCCGCGCCTTTATTTTAAGAAACAACTTTTTTTTTAAGTGCCCTCAGCAGCCACCACCACCATCCTCGCGGAAAAAAAAAATTAATATATATAGTTCATTTCCATGTGAATCCACATCTGCCCAAACAACAGCCACCCACAAAATATCCCTCTTCTTCCTCCTCGTCTCCCCTCTCGCTCGCTCTCTCTCTAGATATATATTTATATACATAGCCCCAGAGCCAATAGCTCTCTGGGCTGAAACCTAATATCCTGGTTTTGGCAACTCCTGGTTGTTAATTTGCTCCTCTTTCTTTTCTGTCTGTCTGGAGATAGATTTCCCCCCTCTCTTTTCCCTCCCCGAAGGAAGGGAGGAAGGAGGTTGTGTGTTTTTTTTTTCCTTGAAATTTTTATCACAAAATTATAATACACTCAAAGGGAAACTCACCGTCATGAAAAAGCAGTGCCTTGTCAACGGGGTTTCTTCGCCATCACATCAGGGGCTGGCAGTGTAGGAGAGAGAGAGGGAGAGCGAGAGAGCGAGGGAGGGAGGGGGGAGAGCGAGCGGGAGAGGGAGCGAGCGAGAGAGGGGGAAAGAGAAAGCGAGCGGGAGGAGAGCGCGGCTCCGCTCGGCTCCGCTCCGCGCCCGCACCGCCGCCGCCACCGGCACCGGCACCGCACCGCCGGGCCCGGCACGGCACGGCCGCGCAGCTCCGCCGGGACACAACGCCGCAGACCGGCGCCCGGGCACACGCACCGCCGCCCTGGCATGATGAGTCCCCAGCCCCGGCGCGATCCTCGCTCCGCGTTTAAAGCCAGGCCCTTTAAAAACTTCGGCTCCTTTTTTTGGGGGGAGGTTGTGTTTTTCAGAAACCCGTAGGTCTGGAGACCTAGCCTAGGATGCTGGCTTTAGGTTAAAAGTTGGGGTTTGTTTGGGGTTACAGGGAAGTAAAACAAAGTTTTTATCCTATTAAAATGAACGTTAATGTTAACAATTTGCCTGATTTCCTTCATATTAAAGCTGTAAATCACTATAAGCTTGGTGGGTGGGAGGGGGTCCCCAGAAAAGTAAATGGAAGTGCAGGGGGCTCCCCAGAAAAATAAATGCAAGGTCACCTTGAAAAATACAAGATTTGATCCCCTGGCAAGCTATACTATTTAAAGTATTTTTAGATATGTTCTTATCAGCCTTGCTGGAAACAAATTACATGGACTTCAACTACTTTAAAAAGTTTTGGGTAACCTAAAAATGTTAATTTGAAGTCAAAGGTTATAGCACTGAGAATTCATTAATGCTCTTCTACAGTTTACTTCAGCTAAAAGCATTAATAACTTTGTTCAAACCTTTTTTGTTATAGAAAACTATTCCAATTTCCACCATTCACTTCATTAATTGATTGAAAACAATTTAATTCTAAAAAATTAATTATTTTTGCAGATAATTCAGAGAAGCCTGGTTTATTAAAAAAACCATTTTGATTGAAAGCAGATTTTTAGCATGCAGATAGATATATGTATGGTAATGCTTTTAAAACAACAACAAAAATCTCTTTAAGACCCTTTTTCTTCTAGTTATGGTAATTCCCAAGGACTTTACTATTTTATTCCTAAGTAACTTTGTTAAAACTCCTTAGAGACAAGGATTTGAAGACTTTATTTAGTAGCACATCCTTCTTTATTAGCTTCATCCAGCTCAAAAAATCCCTCTCACAGTGCTTTAGGTTTTTTGAGCAACTATATCAAAATGGTCAAGGGCAGTGTACTAAGCGAATCTTCTCAAAGAACTTGGCCAGATTGCTTATCTTAAAAAAAAAAATCTCACCACCTTAGCATTGTTTTTCAATTAGAATCTGGTTATATTATTTTTTTAATTAATCAACCAATTCCAAACTTTTGCCAAAGCCAAGACTCACCTACAAACCTTGTTTACATGCACACCCCCAGTAGAAAAGTGAGGTGAAGTTTCAGATCACTTCCAAAGTGGAAGGGTTGGGCCAAGCAAACAAACCTTAGCACGAGTGCAGCAGATCCTTTGTGCAGCCCAGACCGAACCTGCACGTGGCTGTGCCTTGGCCATCAGCCAGATTATTAACTGCACTTTTCATGAATGCAGCAAGGACCCCAACAGCCACAGTATGGACACAAACACCACACGCCAGAGAGCTCTGCAGGAGCTGTAAGCCCATACTCCTGACACCAGCATTAGAAAATTCAAAAGGCCAACATTTCAAGGTTCCTAACTTCAGTAAATGCTTCAAGGCCAAACTCTGCCCTGAATTCAAACCTGCTCAGCTTCACTGGCTTTGGAGAATGTTGCCCAAGTGAGAACTTGTATGGAGGAACACCACCAGCATTCTCATTTGCTTAACAGGAAGGAACTTTGCTTCAGAGGTTACAAGGCCGAGCATCTGATCAGTATGTTGTTATTATTACTACTCTCCCAGTCCTACAGAAACCACAAATAGGAAGCAGGCAATATGATACAAAGAAGGAACCGGAGAAAGGAAGGCAAGTGATTTTGAATGGATTCTGTTACCATAAGAAACACAAGGAATCCTACGTAAGTTTTCCATGACGGTACCATAACTTACTTTCCCTAAAGGATGTTTCAAGGCAGCATTGACAATAGCATTACTAAGCAGGTACAGTACAAAAAGGGAAGAACTAACATCATCTATACAATGAAACACCCTGCAGTAACTAGATTTCTCCATATCTACACACATTTGCTATATTTGTTCACAGGTAGAAATGGTTTCCAAAAAAAAATCAAGGGTTGGATGTAGCTTTATAGGTCATATTGAAGTACGCACTTAATGTTACCTTCAATACTAAGAGGTCTGAATGCAGTCATCAGCTGTAATGTTAGCACTTTCAGGTGTACTACAGAATTTCTCAGACCATGTTTGTAAAGAACTACTGCTTTTTCCTGGCAGGTACTCATGCTGTTTTAAGAGCATCACATGGTGTTTCAGAACTGGGTGTCTCTGCCCCAAGAGGTTGCCCCTCTTCTCACTGCCTTACTGCCTGAATACAAAAGACCCTTGTATGTCAACATTCTTCTACCTCAAGGTCACCTGCTCAGAGCTGTCATCTTCAACCAGAGTCCTATGTACAATGCACAATCAGTTGCTGCCTTTCTTTAGCTTTCACCATCACATTAATACATTTTCTTTCCTGTAGCAGCTTTAGAAGGAGCAAGGGGAAATAAGCACAAGAAAGGAAAGACCAATGTCAAAAGGAAGAAGAGAAATCTTTGGAAGACTGAGAGACGTTGGTGTAAAAACAGCTACTGGGAACGTCATGTGCACTCATCACACAACAAACTACTTGGCTGTATTTTGACACCAGCTGTCAAACTGTGACCATGCTGTTTAACAAATACCACTCTCATAGGTGTGCAAAGACACCAAATGACATTTGGAGTGATCCAATACATTGCCCTGAAATGACAGACTCTGAAGAACTGAAAACTATGCTTAGATATTGAGAGGGAGAAAATAAGAGGGTACAAAACACCGTCATTCATTCTGTCTCCAGGTTTCTCCTACATCAAGTCACTTTGCTGATATTCAGCCATTTTTTCAGGTCTGCATCACATGCACTCCAATTCTTGTTCAATCATAAATTAGTACCCCAAAAGAAGGTAAGGCAGCAATAGATTCATAATGAAGAATGTAAGGACTAAACTAGTGCACTAAAGGAATTAATTCCACAGCCATCCCAAGGTTTTTGCATGAATAGATGGTTTGTAACCTCAACCCACTGCATCCTTTCAGAGATACATTGCATGGAAAAGAATGCCATTTGCTTCACTGCAGCCTTGCTTCTTCAGACTGAATCCTTCAGCTCTATTGATGACACTTCTTCCTCCCATGCCTTCTCTTTCCATTCATTGTGTTTCTTATGTCAGCTCATCATCAGTCACACCTTTTACCTATCTACATATGGCTTAATTAATTATTTAAATTTTAAAAAATAACTAAGCTTGAAGGCACAGAAACAAATAGGTCATCATTAAAGGGCACAGGCAATAGAGAGGTAGAGGTCACTTGAAAAGTAGGACACCCAAATACAGTGGCATGAAAGCAGACAAGGACTTTAACTTGGAATATAAATGTAGCATATAACATGAAAAATTCAGTTCAATATCCACCAAATTCTGAACAATTACCACCACTATTTTGATGACTCACCCATAAAAGTTACCTAAACATTATAATGTTCAGCTTGATACCATGCCTTCCTTACCCAAAACAGTACTTACAAAACCTGGGTCATAATTGCATGATGTAATTTGTAAAGCTGCATGACTCCAGTATCAATCATCACACCAAAGACAGGACTACTTAACCAAAGGTATCTTAAGGGGTGATTGGTAAGGACATAGGCAGTAAGAGGGGGTAATGAAGAGTGAACCTCAGAACAAGAGATTTCCACCAATACAGAAGACAGACAGGTTTCTGTGACTGGAGATTGTGTGAAGGCAAACAGGGCTGGTCTATGATGAATCTAAAAACAGGTTTTGGAGAACTCTGCTTCTCTGAGATGAGCATCTGACATACAGCAGACAATTAAGAAAAGCCAAAGAAAACATGGTGACTGGAGGTTCCATTTAAACAAATGGCAATTCAAAATTATTACTGGAACAGATCAAGAATTACTATATCATTCTCCAGGTTATTTAAATATATATATTTAACTATAGTCTCATATTCTTCAGCTTAAAGTACCCTAAAAAGAGGAATTAAGTTTGAAAGATTACTAGCTCTCACTTCCAAGTTAGAATAATCTTAAGATATTCAGCCACTGAAATGTATCAGAAAAAAAATAAAAATACCCTCACCTCTGGAGACAGAGCTTTATTACAGAAATAATGGAGAAGTAATCTTGCCCAACTAACACTGTCAAAACTGATGGAAGAATTTAAACTAAAAATGATGTCAGAAAATGGGACAACATTCTATCATATTCACAGTTAATTTGGCTAGCACAAATTAATGGAAAAAAATCAGATAAGTAAGGATACAGAAATACAGATGAACATATTAATGAATAGTTGGACACAAGGATTTGGGTGTTGGTGTTTTTGGTTTTTTTTTAAACATAGTACTAATTAAAAACAGCAGCCTGGCAATGAAACTAACAAGAGAAGCATTCCTAATACAACCGAGGTGTTGTAGATGTTGTTTAAAAAAAAATAAAACCAAACAAAAAATGGGAGGAATTTAAGCAAAAAAAGGAGGCCTAAAACATGAAATAAGGTGATAGAGGGATACAGAAACACAGTGGAATAGTAAATTATACCAAAGCCATTTGTGTTCTTGAAAGCAACACAGACCTGCTAAGCTATACTTGTATAAGGACAAGACAAAATGGACAAACAGAAGGGACATTATGAATAAAGCACCACCTGAGTCAGAACTTTTGAGACAGAATAGTTTTACTTGGACATTTCTGAGTTCCTGCTATGAAATGAACTGGGTAAGATTTGGATATGAATGAAGATTGCTGTAAAAGAAGTCTTTTTATTATGACTAGAAAGGGTATCAATATGAATGGAATTTATTCTCAGATTTAGACTGGAGAACAAATGCTAATAATAGGAGGAGGAAGCCCTCATTCAAAATTATAGCTGACAGACTTTTTCCCAAGATGAATAAATGGCAAAAAGAATACAAGTATAGTTTTATCCACTAGGGAATATACTGCAGGAGAGCTAATAGGAAAACTTGGATATGACTTGGAGTTAATTCTATTAAATCACTCAGAAAGATAAATGGAATATGTTTGCAAGTAAGATTCACAATTCTAAAATAGAAAATATTTTTATATGCTATTGAACCTAGGTGGTCCATTGAACTGGCTAGTCCAATAACCATAGTTTTCTGAAATGCATTTAAAAAATAATTGTAAAAGTATCTGAAATGTAAAGCAAGGCAATGAAAAAACTCTCAGAAACTCCATAACTAATAGAATAATTGCCTCAAAGGGAGAGTCCATAAAGCAGTAACTGTGGCTTACATACAAAGTCTCCAGAATTTACCTACAGTCAATTAGCAAGTTAGGATTCTATATAGCAGCCAGCAGCTAGACCTGGACCAAAC